TTAAAATCATTATTTTTGTTTTCATACTTTCCCATGAGTTCTGTTTTCTTTCATTACTGCATGATAACCATTTTCAATAGTTAATATCTATATTCCAGTGATGAATACTTTCGTATTGAGTACATGCTGCAAATCTTTGCTGTATATTTCTACCGTAGAACAACAAATCCGAACGTATATAGTTAAGATCGTAAAATAGGCCTAATGAAAATAAGATTCATATAGTGCATACTACATTATGAAATAACATCTCCATACGGTTCCAAAGAGCTTTGGAAATTTTTACTCTAGCTTTAGCTCCCGCAGTCGTTATCAGCGCTTAGTGCATTTCAAGGAATAATCATACCAGGTACCCATTTACCTCGCCTTGGTTGAGTGTAGCAAATGTAGATTAATGTCTTGCCAAAGGACATCAGTGTCGCGGCGGGATTCGAACCGCGGACCTTGTGATCCACAGTCCGGTGGCATATATCCACTCGACCACGACACCTCTACATGTGCTTTTATAGAGGAAGGAGGATTTCATCCATCATTTCCGCTGTGGTTTTCCTTACACATTTTCTTTATTATATTTGGTTACACCTTTTTGGTAAACATGCATGGAACTGTCAGTCAGTATTGTTTGTTAACGTGACTATACTTGTCTGACGGGTCCACAGTTTCACGAGTCTACGAGTTTCGTCATTCAGCTGGAACGACAGTCTGCGAAGTCGATTCAATTCAGTTTAATTCAATATAACGTCTAAATATAAGAGGTGATGTCATGCAGCATATACATAGGATATACTCTCTATGTGAATTCTAACTATCTATCTAAGTATCTTCTCCCGGCTCGGAGGTTGATTGCAACATCTCTTCATTTCACTCTATCTTCTGCCATACTGGTGCACTCTTGCAGTTTTAGTCCACTCCAGTTCTTGACATTCTCTTCCCAGTTAATTCTGGGTCTCCCTCTAGGTCTACTTCCTTCCACTCTTCCTTCCAATACATCCTTTGAGAGGCTTTGGTGCCTTTTAACATGACCTAAGTATTTGATTTTTCTCTCCTTAACTAATCCTACTAGTGCAATTTGTTTACGCCCTGCCATGTGCTATATCTTTGTTAGTTTTCATTCGTTTCCAGAAGATTTTCATCATTCTATATTCTATGTGAGCACACTGCATATTTACAACCTCAAGAGAGTATTGTGGCGAGGTTTTAAAGTTAACGTCAATAGGCCATTTTTAATATTTATTTAACTTTATACAGGTTTAATTTCCAACGAGCCTTAATTTTTCACCGTTTATATATCATTGAATTTTAATGTGCATAAAGATGGATTGCATATGAAGAGTTTAATTCCAGAAGGAGCTAAATCCACTTTTGATGAAAATTGAGTAATTTATATCAGAACATTGTTCACTTTTGTACCTGTCTTTCAACAAAATTATTTACCTAACTTTTGGGAGCAATCATGAAAAAATGCATCTTCTAATATTACCTTTCCATAGACACCTGTACAAAATCTGGTAAACAATTTCTTTTTTCTCTGAAGTTACAAACATGGATTTAGCTCCTTTTGGAATTAAACTCTTCATATACATTATCCGTTGATAGGTAGGACAAACATTATGGCTTGCTCTTTACCTAACAATAACTAATTTGTACATTTCGTATTCTGACTATTGTAATACCATTATTCGCAAGTGGTGAATAAAGTAATTCGTCAGGAGGCAAATCTAAAAGGGGTTTGCATTATATATGATTACTTTACGAAAATGGCCTATTGACAGAAGGTAAGTAGCACGTCTTGGTATTACCCTTCACTAACCCGTCAGTATTTGACAATTTTTATATTGATTGTCCTGTTGATAATAAAACTTAAACTTAAACTGAAACTGAAACTACCTAATTCTGTTGTACATCACAAGTGTGAGCGGGCGAGTGCTCACGTCGCTAAGACGAATAAATATTACGTGGTTGTGCAACTTCCGATGTGACGCACACGTTTACGATGCGGATTTTGATTGTATTTGTTTTAATGAAGAAGAAAAAATATTTGTTTTTATTCTTCCTGCTTGCAAGTGGTAAATTGTTGGAAAACCGAGATTAAAAATTCCTCGGCTTGTAAATTGTGTCACGTGCACATCTTTGTTAATAATTTCAAAGCATTGTTAATACTATCTTGTGTCAGGAGATGAACAGATATATGAATATGAATGTGTTTATTATTGCATGTGCACATTACATTAGCATCCTTGTAATGTCAATTTGTTAAACATTTAACGTTTTCACAAATCATTAATAGTCGTATAATGTTGTGACTTTGCTATTTCTTTTTATTTCTTGTGTATATATCTGTGTTACTTTTCTTGAAAAACTGCCCAATTATAGCTTTAAACATTATATGTATTCTCATATTATGAAATCATCGTCTGTTTTGTTCGTGTTGTTATTGTTGATTGATCTACTGTAAAAATGTAATGTTCTTCGAAATGGAATCTAAAGCGGTAGAATTGTTTCTTTTTTTCAAAGTCAAACAGTAAAAAACGCGCGAACAAAGTAATATTCCTATTTCAAGAGGCGCTCTCCGATACACGAAACTTGACATAGAATTAAACAGTATGCTTTTAATAGGGATTTGCTATAACATTTTGTATCTTGGTTTTAATAGTTGTATATATACATATGCAATCAGGTGTTAGATGTTAGGTGTTAGGTGTAAGGTGTTAAGTGTTATAGGTTAAAATTCTGTATTATGTCGCAGGGGACCAGCACCACATAAGACTTCACTGTTCTTTCTTGTAGGTTCCTCGTTCATATATATTTGTATTTTATGTTTATATTTCGTTATGTTATTTGTATGTTCTTTACTTATCTGTAAATATCAATGTTATAATTATGTATGTTTTTATATGACGGATGAAGTAAAATGAAATGAATATCTAAAAAGAATTGACGAGGACAAGTAAACGTCCTACGCCCCCCCCCCCCCACACTTCCTTCCATTACCACTAACTGGGCTCACTTCCAGACGAGCAAATATTCTAACAAAGGAAAACAAATCTCTATTTAGACCCAGCTGGTAGATCATATTTGTATAATATCCTCTTATAGCCTGAATTGTATTTGAACTGCCAATAAACAATCATGAGACGATTGTAGAAACGTATTGCATAAACCAAGATCATAGGCATTAGCGTTCGGAAAACTAGGGGCTGCATCCCCCCTCGGAATATTTGACGTTTATATCCGGAATCCACTACCTTAATTTCCTGCGTCGAGGTGGGCGAATATCAAAATCTTTGCGCAGTGCAATGTCCGAATATAATTTTGTGAATGATCAGCAGCTGAATATCCACGTTCGGTCAGCGACATTCTCTAAAAGCTTCATATTCGAACAGAAGGAGCCTGAATATGTAATCTTTGTAATATTTACTACAACAAATAAATATATTACCTTTCGGGCCTTGCCTTTTAAAGAGTTGCCACTGGTCCGAATCGATTGCAAATTTCTTTATATTGATATCAATTGCAACTTACGACATACAAAATCGAGATGTATAAGTGAGTGACTGATCCGAATATTAGCGATTTATTCTGATCAATCGAAAATCTATATAAAACAAAGCATTGTACCAACACCTTTATAAGAGTAATAAATGGCAATTTAAGAAACAACCTGTTTTATATACGTTTAATTTTTATTGCCCCCATCATAAGAAAGGAAAAAATCATAAAGATCAATACGATATCATATAAATAAGAGATAATTATCTTTTACTGAACATAAATTAATTAGTAACAATAAGCAATAATATGTCATTTGTATGAGCAGATCGTTTTTTATACCATTTTGTTTGCTAATAGTATAGATTATAATGTGTAGAAGTGTCGTGGTCGAGTGGTTACGTCGCCGGACTGTCCAAATCCAATCCAATCCAATCCAAAAGATATTTGATATAGCGCCTTTTCCTTTTCCATCACAAGGTCCGCCGTTCGAGTCCCGCCGCGGCACTAATGTACTATCTACTTTTGCCACACTCAACCCAAGTGATGTAAATGGAAACCTGGCAGGAATTAATTCCTTGAAATACCGTAATGGCAGCACAGCGAAAGCCAGGGTAATAATCTCCACGTATGGAAGCGCTTAAAATCTCAAAAAAAGCTCAAAATCTACTCATCTTATTACATTACAAGGATATGCATAATTAGCATACACCATACCTCGTACCTACGATACAAAGTAAAACTGCGTATATGAATTGAGACATCAATATAATCTTTCTATATTTAAAAATAACCGAAAACGTTTTAAAAGATAATAAGCATGTTAAACAATCGAATTTTGTTAAATTCTTCCCATTCCATCCACTCTAAGACGGTAATCTTTTCAAGTTTATTGCATACTACTTCTCAGTGGGAAATGACCGGTATGACCCCCCCCCCCCCCCCCCCCCCCCAACCCAGGGCGGTTGAATGCCCTTCAAGATAATGTGCCGTGGATAAATGATATAGACATTTATTTTCTTCACTTCGCATGTCCTTTAATGTTAATGCTATACTATGCAAACTACTATACAAATCACTCATTTCCTTAAAGAGGACTGGTATTTACTCCATGAGGTTGTTTTTCCTTTGAGACTTCGCCTGCTTGTTGCTGCAGACATCATCAGACTGACGTTTTATCGCCAATAGATGGGGTAGTACAAGAATCCGAGATAGAGCCATCTATACACAGAGTTTGGCAAACTTGGTTTCACTGGGTCACAAAATGACGTATATTCTTGTGTTTTGCGCTTGCCCAACAAAGCAGAAGTCACCATATTCCAACTCCAGCCGGGTCGGCTAAACTCTGTGTATAGATGGCTCTGGTACGAGAGACCATGTCGTGAACCACGACATTATCATTAATATTACTTATACCGCGCCTTTCCCAGAAGGATCAAAGCGCTTACAGTAAATGAAGATGAAAATTACATATATACATATAATAAGAATAAGATTTAATAATCAAATAAAACGCAAAGTTTTCTTATTGTTTTTGAAGGGGTAATGAGCGACCAACATCCAACTCGAGATGGGCCAGTTTAACCTAACATAACTGTAGGCCTACATTCCCATTCTCTCGGACTTTAATCATGTCACAATCACATTTCCATCATGCACGGACGTTAGATATGAATTAACATTCAATAAGAACGTATCATTTTGGCGAATATTATGTTTTTCTTTCGTCTGAGATACTATCAATCTGTATTGATGGTCTGCCCTCTAGTGACGTAATTATAAGATTGGATGTTATAGGATGACTTCTCTTTGATTTGTGACTGTATCATGTAAATTCAGAAAGTTTGTAACGTTATTATGAGGACTCAGAGCAAAATTACCCATTCTACTAAAAGAATATCTTTCAGGCATTGTCCGTACTGTTGCCATCAGTGGTCGTGAGTTGCTGTGGATCTGTTAGGGGGGAATTGAAATGGTGGTTAATGTATAACGGCAAAACCATTGTTTGCATTGTCTTGATTCATTTTAATTTAGTGTATTCAGGTATACTTCAAAGTCAAATCACGCCCAAAACCGGATCATCAAAGTTTTCACAAATGCGGTGTATCATAATCACATTCAAAATTCCTTAAAGAGTTTGACCTTTGTAATAAAATAGAGGACGTGTCATAGTACCAACTGTTGATTTTGTTAAAAATTGTGATTATTTCATTCCATTTTAAAGATAAATGTAAAGGAAATCACCTGTTATCGTGTAACGTTATCAACCCTCAACATCAAACAATGATACGATAGTATGTATTTTTCATGTTAAAAGGAAAATGGTATTTTTGCTTTCGCTTTTTTTTTTTTTTTTTGTAAAGATATTGGTTACATCTCACCTGAACATGTAATGGCAGGGGCCCACACACCATCTAGACAAGTAGTTGGTGGAAGTGTATCAGATGAGTACAGACAGGTAAAGTCAACAGCATCACCGTGATAGTAAGTTCCTGTCGGCTCAGCAAACTCCGGGAATCGCATGGTTCTGTTGGTAACAAAGAAAGTGAATATCAGTGATTTAATTTATTAATCAATCATGTGACTTGCTCTTTTTTCGCTGAACAAAGATTTATACAAATCTCAATAACGTTCACAAAGAAACTACAAACTTGAAATTTACGCGAGACCTTACACAGATTTGTTTTCTTCTTCTTTCTTCTCCTTCTGCTCCTCCTACTCATTTTTGCTTCCTCCAGTTTAAAAGGCTGTGCTTCACGTTATAGTAATTGTATTCTTTCTAACCGCATTAATTAATGCTGAGGAATAGTGGTTTCATAATTACGGTGCATACAGTATTATACTACTAAATTATACAAACTGTATAGTTGTCGTACCCAAGTCACTCCATGGAACCGACTCCAATCACTTTCGAATCTAACCAATTATTCGCTATGTTGGGGTACGCGATGTGCTGCTACGATGGGTTACTTTTTGAAAGAAAGAAAAAATATCTAAATATGGGGTATGATTTTGCATTGCAAAATTCAAAAAATTGCCCCACTTTTAGGTCTTGGCCTTGTCTTACTATTTCCTTCGGTGATAGTGTAAATTGTGTAAATTGTGTAAATTCCTGATGCGGATATGGGTGAAATCGTTTTGCTCTATATAAAGCAAAAGTACTAATAATGAGTACCTTTACTGTCAAACTAACTCCTAAAAGGGTATGGCTTTGGAGGATTCAGCCGCACAGCCCCTTCCAAACCAAATCTGAGTACCCCACCCTCCCGCTGTATAGCTTACGTTTGCATTGCACTGAATCTGTAGCCGGACTCCATGCTCCATTCTGACACGCAGTGATAGCTGGTCCTTCTAGACTCCCAGCAGAGCAGGAAAATTCCAAGATGGTGTTGTGTTCATACACATTATTGCTAGCAAAGTATTGGCCGATGATCACAGATGCATCCACACTGCTCCATGTTCCCGGATCACATGGTGCTGAAATGCAAGCAAACAATGAGTTTTGTTTATAATTATGTGAGAGATTGATTTCGGTGTAATTAAAATGAAAAGTTACATTAAAAGTGTTTATTTATTACTGTGTTCTAATGAGAAGGCAAAAAAGGATAGGTTTTTTTCCTTCTGGCAAATTTGAGAACCCCCTCTTTACTTCAATATTTTCTTTTTATTCTTCTTCTTCTTCTTCTTCTTCTTCTTCTCCTTTTCTTCTTTTTCTTCTTCTTCTTCTTCTTCTTCTCCTTCTTCTTTTTCTTCTTCTTCTTCTTCTTCTTCTTCTTCTTCTTCTTCTTCTTCTTCTTCTTCTTCTCTTTCTTCTTCTTCTTCCCATACCAGAAACAACCTTATCATTCAAACTAACCTAGACATTCATAATCTTGTAGTGGTGTTATCCAGCCTGATTCTAAGCACATGTTGAAATTACCAAACTTCGACATGTAAGTAGTTTGGCATGATACGCTGATCAGATCGAAGATTGGGTAAGATGGCGCTGGGATGACGTCATCTATGAGAAGCATTGGAGCTAATGAGAGTCCTGTTGTCCCACATACTGGAGAAGAAAATGGAAGAATTGTGGTTTCTAAAAAATCTGAATACCTGATCTACAGTGATTGAGGGGCAAACTCATTTGATTCTTATTTGTTTGTATTATTTAGCAGATGTTTCTACATTAATTTTATTGAAAAGTCAAATACGAAACATTCAAATAACAATGATAATATATTATGTAATGAATTTGCTTCAAATGTGACAACTAAAATGCAAAACAAAATACATAGCCCTATTTATATATAATTGAAAACTCGAAAGCATGGAGGTAAATCAAAGAATCAAGATAAACGTGGAGGCCAACAATTCAGTTTTTATTACTCGCATTAATATATGGTCGGAGGCAATTTATTCTTCTATGTGCAGCATTTTTATACCGTGAGTTCTGTTTGCAAAGGTCCACTTTATAACCTTTTGAACCCCCCCCCCCCCCTCCGTGTTGCTTAAAAAGAATTAAGCATTTATAAAGAATTAAAGACAATTTTAATTTAAAAAACCGTCTTTATCATTGTACCAACACAATATTTACGTCTACATGTTTATGTTCCTTTTGTATGTGGCATGACTTGATGTGATAAATGTTCGATTCGAATCATATCAAACAAAATATACTAGCCCACGACCATAACCATTTAGGAATAAATTGATACGGATGGTAGTTGAGAATTGTTTAAGATAATTTTTTTTAGATAATAGATGTGTATATATTTTTCATTCAATACTGGAGTACTGCGTCACAAGTTTGTGAATAATTAGGACTTCCGCTCATGTAGCTATTCTTCTGTCATGTATTTGAATTCCTAATTTAAGCAATGTTGCGGACCCCTATGAAAAACACTGTGCTGATTAGGGTATTATCCCACAAGTGAAAAATACGTTGAATAAATAATAAATAACATAAACAACCCAATGAAAAATAAATAAATAAATACAAGTTTATAAAAAAAAAAAAGAGAAAATACACTTACAGTTGCATCGTATAGACTGTCTGGATGGAATCCAGCTACCATCTTGACACGTGATTATATCACTACCCTCGATAGATCCCTCAGCACAAGAGAGACTAATCACCGTGTTATGCTCGTATGCATTGTCTGTGGTGATGTATTGTCCTGAAGTGACTGTCGCTGTAAAACTGCTCCATTCATCGGCAGAGCATGGAGCTATGAAGATGTAACAGGGAAGATATAATGTGAACCGTTAATATAAGTGTTGATCCTGCCCTAGATGTCGGTGAGAGAGTGGGGCTTTGGACTGAGGGCCTCTGCCCTAGAATTTCGAAATTACCAATCTTTACCTAATGTTTGACCAGAGAGTTGGTCCGTGTTGGTCGCTTGAAAACATTGGGAAAATAAATATGTACTGTCGATATGTGCCCCTCGATCCCCCAACCCCTATCCCCAGCAATCCTCGTGAAATAGTGACAACTGTCCTCTAAAGACTGGGAAGTCTTCGTCTTTTATAATTGATAATATATCATAATCAATTTCAAGCAAAATCAAGTTATTTCTCACCTGAACAAGTATAGTCCTCGGGCGATGTCATCCACGTATCTGACCCCTGACACATGTTGAATTCAGGCAGATTGGACATGTATGTTGACGTACACGTGAAGAAGATCAGTGTGTAAGCACTGTAAGGACCCACCGGTGTAACACCATCAATCAAGAGCATTGGGTCTATTGAAAGAGCACTGATGTCGCAGACTGTAAGGAAAATAAATTATCTTATTCGTCTATATCCCAACAACAGCTGTAGAAGAGCAGCGAAAGGAAATTACCTCATTTGATTTTGGTCACATAAAAATCGGTAGTCACGTAAAATCCGTTAAGTTTAATTTGTTATTTGGTTTCGGTTTGCTTTTTAATGAGATTCGAACCCTCAACCCTTGGGTTGCGTGTCAAGTGATTGAACCACTACAATACGACACCTCCACAAGGTCCTTAAACAAGAGATAATGGCGATGAATACTAACCATTAACTACTGGTAATACATGCATAAAACAATATATAGCAGATAAACATGAAAGTCAGTTATTCAAGCGCCATCTAGTATATAGTTGTACTAATTGTGTTCAACCTGATATTTATTTTACAATATGAATTTAAAAAAAACTCGTCCCTACGCCTATGTTAATAATGATAATCAAGGGAAAGAAAAGTTACCATCATCTTGGGGATTTCTTCAAGATAGTTTGTATTTTCCTAATAACAGCAACATTAAGCAATTACAAGGAAGTTAGCAATTGCATCAAAGCTCACAACAACATCAACGATATCAAATAGCAGCACAATTTTACATAGAATTTTGATTTCCGTTCTAAAATATTAAATTCTTACCTTGAGCATTCACACCCAAAAATCCAAATACTACAAATAAGAAGCAGATTCTGAAATGCGCTTCCATCTTGATTATAATATTTGAAGTAGATAGCGAGATTCGGGAAGAAGAATTGTGAATAATTCAGGCTGCAGCTCTGCTTCTGTTTCTGTTGCTGAATGTTTCCGCAAACCACCGAGGCTTCCCTAATATTACTTCTTGGTTTGACGTAGTTTTGAGGGACAGCAAGTAATATCCAAGTTCAAATAAGGGGAACAAGTCAACGAAGAAGTACCCTCTTCGCTTTACAAAAAAAACAACACTTGAATTCCATGTTGGTCGGCGTCTATTAAGTGTGTGTTCGGTAATGTCAAATAGGAATAATTACGGCTATACTTGAATAGTTATGCTTTCATTTGTTAAAGTCCTCAGGGTTATTTTTAAGAACCCTCATTGGATTTTAGTCACGTAAAATTCCTGTATTCATAATTGCTATTTGGTTACGGTTTGCAATTTCCGATGTTATCCTTCTCCTCTGTATAAAGTAAAATGTTTGGTTTACATATTGTTCAAATATGATGTATGCATGTATTGGAATATTAATAAATCTCATTACATACAAGCAGACTGACTCGTTATCAATCATTTTTGACCCAATCAGACATAGTTAAACATGTCAGACAGAGTTTTTTAAAGATGCCGACAATGCCCTTACCATTTTCAGTTTTTCCCCTTTCGCAATCGGTAATATTTGTATGCAAACAAAGTTGTTTCGTCACATATTTGATTTATATCTATATAGACAGTCACCAGACGACATGCAATCATTAAAGCTCTCAAACAGGGATCTTCAACGGGTACATTGAATTTACGCGTTCATCCGTTCAACATTTCGGTTATAAGACGGATGTCATTCATGGCACTCTCGTATATTTTCTTGTTTTCTCTGCCACTCTTACTTCATTTCTACGCCTCATCATTCCTCCCTCCTTCGTTGCTACTCATTTGTCGAACTCTCAGGCACCTACTCTCTGCATCTTACAACGACTTCACGTGCTCTTCTCTCTCTCTGTCCGTGTCACTCCACTCCTGGCTTTATATTCTGAAAACTGCGTTAACTTTCATGATAGGAAAAAAATGTTAACTTTCATAACAAATCAAAAGAAAAGCAATTTTGTTTTCATTGATTAATTAAACTTGTAGCGTACGCTTGCTGTTTAGAGAGGCTTTTGCCCAAGCGCCAACAAGTGTTTATTCCGCCAGATTTGAACTTGTAACGACAATTTTATCATACTTCTCACTGTTATGAAATATAACATAATTTACAGAATACGGCCCTTCAGTTTTTATTCCCATAGGAATATGGGGCAGATCAAGCTTTTTGTAAAAAGAGGGGGCACAATATTCCAAAACAATGGGTCATCATCTCAAAAGGAGGGAGGGTCACATTTCGACTTGTATACTAAATGTATCTGGTCTCAAACGGGGATGGGGCATAAGACGGTTGAAAGACCCACTCCTTACCCCAGTGATCGGTATCATTCTTTCCACTTATAACAGAATGATACCGATCACTGGGGTAAGGAGTGGGTCTTTCAACCGTCTTATGCCCCATCCCTGTTTGACTTCGAGACCACATACATTTAGTATACAAGTTGAAATGTGACCCCCCCCCCCTCCTCCTTTTGAGATGATGACCCATTGTTTTGGAATATTTTGCCCCCTTTTTGTGTGTGTTTGTGTGTTATCATGTCTGCTGCAAACGTGCTCCTGCGGCCAAACATCCGATAATGATTACCTTATGTTTGAGAGTCTATAAACGACAGTTTTATACAGATTAGTTTTTTTTCTATGAATGTATTTATTTCATTCTTTTGGATAGGACCCCGCTTGTTAAGTTAATATCCAAGTCTGAATGACTGAATCTTTACTCTGCTTTCCATGTAAATATAGAGAAAATTGTTTATAATCTCGGATATTAGCATCAATAAAGCTAATTCTACTAAAGATTCAATAGCAATTGACGTTAATACAAATTTATTTACAGTTACAACATATACTCTCTAGATTATTTCATGTAATTCATTGAATCATAAATAACTTTGTAATTAATTAATTAGCTGTAAATGAATATACACTTGTACACTACCAACAAGAGAGAAAGTAAAAATTCTCATCATAAAATATTTGAATGAACAATAAGTCACGAGTCTAAAACATCTTACAGGCAGAAAATAAGACATCCATTTTACACAAGGGATCGGACACAAGAATATATCAGACATACAACATCTAAATGGGAATTCAAAATGTGGTAAGATATCACAAGTACCTACTACAATATGTTTTGTTTTAATAAAGACAAATGGGTTTATGCCCTTGCCCACCCCCTCCCATCATCCCCCGCCCCAAGTCGATCCGGATCGTTATTTGACAATCATTTGCCAAGCTTTCTAAGAGCACCTTACTACGGTATACTCACCAAACCAATATTATGAGCACATCATTCGAGTTAGACTTACTTAGACCTAATGATGGCCAAGCGAACGACAGCAATAACCGCTGCACACGAGGCGTCATCTTGAACGCAATAGAACCGACTGTTATCTTTAAGCCTATGAAGGTAATAAGCCCAAACGCCGGTAATTCAACACAATATTTGCACCTTTCATTTTGCACTCATTTTCGTTTTCTTGACCACTTATAGAGGGATTTAAAGAAGCTTCTGGTGTAAACAGCGTGTCACCGTGAAGCTAACGAATGACAGTTTCATCAAGCCGTGGGATTTTTTCCCCTTCAGTTTTAGCATTCCATTATCGGTTTACGGCATCCACCAATACGGTAGAGCTCCAAACTTCCTCGTTCTATATTCTCTCCTATATCGCTTTTCGGTAGGTTCCTCGTCCTTCGGGTTGGCTAGATTATCCACAAGAGACCTGTCCATCCAGCCTTTGTCTAACAAATCCTCATCATCAATGTCAACTTCTGTGATGACAACGGTTGTAACGTCAGTAGTGACGGCATTAGCAAGGACAGTAGTGCCTCCTTTAGTGCATTTTTCGTCCGGACGGCAAAACCCTATCATATCACCACCATGCCATGCTTGTTCTTCATGTCCATGCGGACGAGATGTCACTTTCATAGATTCCAGCATCTCTCTATCTAGACTGGCTCTGATGTCCGTCAATTGTGACCAGAGGAAGCGACGGATATCCCGAATATGTAAAGGCTCTTCGGATGGTGCCGGAACAGCGTTAATCAGTTCTGAATTATCTTGTCGCGAGGCATTGCCGCCATCAAGTACATTGTCTGGACTTGAAAGAAAGGAGTGTTGGAAAAACTGCAATCCCATTGAGTGATTTCAAGTTGGGTGTTAGTGTTAGTGTTAGTGTTTAGAGCAGTCAAGAGCTCTTAAATCGAGCTAAAAATGTGCTGATGAAATTAAGAGCCCGATACCGATATCAATATCGATAGCTTAACACCACCGTAAACACCACTGCACTGCAATTGATTTCACTTGATTTCACGACGATGATTTAAAAATACTACATAAAAACTAAAGATTTCATGAAAAGCACAGAATAAATTTAAACCTATTTCTCTGGTGTTATGAAATAACTTATTTTACACACAATAAATGTATGGATCACATATAAATGACATGTTGTTTCACATATTCTTATTAATTCGTCAGCCAATAAATTAGCGTCGTACGTGAGTTGACTGTTGTTCGGGTACGTGTGTGTGTAGCTTGGTGGATCGGAGGGGGCGCGGCATCCATAAAATGAAATTTTGAAAGAAAGACCCCCGCCTTTAAACAAAATATATGAAATGATTCATGTGGATTTAGTCTAGGGCTTAGATTAAACTAGTAATGCTCGTTCTGAGAATGTTTTTCATGTAGTGTAGTACCAATAAAAAAATGTTCTTCACTGCTAGCTCATAGAACTAGTATTATAACTAGATCTAGAGCTTAGACCTAATTAGCCTAGAATTAGAAGGCTAGATTATAAAATGAAAGTTGAAAATGTTGTTAAAACCTAATAAATACTAGAAAGGCAAAGAAAAGGTAGGCTTATGCTTTACCTTCTAGGTCCACTTTGAAACGAAATCCCCGTTCGTTTGTAGGTGAGCTTACTTACAAACAAGCACATGAATGACCCATTTTAATTTATATAAGGAAATTCGAAGGGACGAGGCGATCGGTCAGAGCCTTGACGCCCGAAGCAGGCGCAGCAGATTTGCTGAGTGCTTCGCTAGACAGACGAACACTGCAAAGGCGCGAATATACAAACAATATTTTGCAATAAATTTAGACCCTACCTTGTTATTCTTCTTGGAGCTGTCTAAATATAGTCGACGGAAAAATCAGTGGTAAGTCAGCATTATTTCTTTGGCTAAAATGTTAAATAATAATTGAAATGATGGATGATGGTTCCTAGAAAACTTCTAATTGTAGACAGTTAGCTCGCTACGCGCATTACGAGACTAGAAGAATGCAACGTACAATCTTAATTGTGTGTGTAAAATTTAGTAAGCTCGACCACACACACACTAGTAGTGTTCACTCCCATGAACGCTATTTAGCAGGTTCTAGCTCACACTCGCGCCGGCCTGCCAGGCGGGCCCGTCAGATCAGATGCGCTGTTCTAATGCGCGTGCCGAACCAGTGCATCGGGCAAGCTTTTTTTGGTGTGTGAATTGTAAAAAGGGAAGGATAATTATATAGGGGCGCTGAAAAACAAAGGCTATTTTTGGATTATTTGGTGAATCGGTGTTACATTATTATGTTGAATTAATTTGTTTTATTAGATTCTCTGTACTCTGTAGGCATATACTAGACTAGAACTCTGAGTCTATCTGACTTTACTTTCCTCTCTTCTTCTCCGAGCTCCCAAAACAAGCTGCTAATCCCGTTGTTTTCAACCTCTTTAATATCTGACATTCGGGGGAGAGGGAGGGAGGGGGATCCTCAGATTTGGTTTGGACGGGGGTGTGCCGCTCAAGTCGAAACCACTAGGTCTAGGCCCATCGTTTAGAAATTTTTGTGTGAAAAAGTATGTCATAATATGTGATTAGGCATACCCCCCCCCCCCCCCCCCCCGGATTGGGAAGCAAGTGACAATTCGGTGAATCTGAGTTATCTGTGTTTCTTAGGCATATAGGGCACATAATTATGCCTACCCATCACGTCCGACTTTTAAGCAATATTAGCTAGACTATTCTCATTAAGCTGATAGTCATATGAATTGTATTGGACGGCAATATAGACTGAGGCCTAATCGTTTTTTGTCAAAAATGTTCACGATTACTTATATCGAACTGTGTTTGTATTGTTGTTGTTCTTCAGAGAAAGGAGTAT